TGACCGAAGGGTCTACTCATTGGTTGATATCGCGATGCTATCAATTCACCAATCGCGGCTAGACGCGCGCAATGGGTGGTGAGTAGACGTCCCCATACGTTTAGTTACATTAGTATTATTAAGTCAGGACAAACAGAGATACAAGAGTTACAGGACTTAATTGTATCAAATGACAGTTTTACTTTTACCAGAGACTAGAATGTTCACTTAGTCTCCTTTCCTTCCTCTGTGTTGGTGCAACACTTAGCAGGGCACTGACTATCACTGTAGTCAGTGGAAGTGAGCTCCGTACTGGTCATCCAGTACGTTGTCACCAGTGCCCTGTTACAATACTAGTCAATGACATTTGCGTGCAACCGAAATGGAGGGGGTGTCCGTTCCGTGTTGTGTGCACGACGGTAGCAACTAGATTCAGCTATGCTATAGGCCAAAGCTTTGAGCTGGCAACCTCTGACGAGCGTCCAAGACATGCATCCACGAGTCGATCGTATCGGCGGCGTCCATTATGGGCTCATGGTGCGATCACAGAGTGTAAATGGTATCGCCGTCGCTTCCATTTGCACCTTAATAACACAATCGTCAAGTGATGTTGACAGTCGAAAGTAACACATCAAGCGCCCAATGACTCGACTACAAAGCTTAAGATTCGCAACGTTATCGCGAAGCTGACAATCGTTTGTTACCGCGAGGCTGACAAACGTTTGTACATCGCAAGAGCTGTCGAGATCGATGTTAAGGTCGAAATTGCACGGCACATGAAAAGAAAGGACGAAAGGAAATAAAATATATATAACTTGCACTTGGTCGTCGCCATCTGTTGAAGTTGCCACACTTTTGCTGTCTCCAGTTGCGAAATCCATTCGCGACGGCAACGATCGAGTGATCATCACGTACCAGCAATCGAGCCGATACGAAGCCTGGTGTGTATACGTATCAGCGCCGCCCCATTTATAAAAAACAGAGATGTCAAGCGAAAAAGTCGGCAACATGTCTCGCCACAACACTTTCGCCTCGCAAGTAGTCGGTGCGACATCTGATTTTTTGCTCTCTCTCCCGAAACCAATTTTCCTTCTCGCCCGTTCCTCAGCCCAGTAACCAACGCGTAGCTCCTCCGCCCGGGAACCAGATGGATAGCCCGGCCGCGGCCGCCGCCGCATGCAATCATAGCCACCCGACCGTGACCGACGACAAGGCTCGGCACGGAGAGACACGCCGACAGAAAGCGAGGCCGAACGCAGAGAAACGGCGCACGCGGTTTTCGTCTCTGCCGCCGCACGGCTGAGTGCGGAAAAACAATCCAATAAACACAGACATTCTCTTGACGCAAACGAGAAAAGGGAAACACAACGAAAGCGCGAAACGTCCGCGCCCTCTGTCGCCAACAGCGCGCGCGCACAAGTCCCTTGTTTCCCTCGTCGCGCATTTGGCCACCTGCGCGCCACTTGACATACGTATCAAAGTGCGCCCGCCCACAGTAGTAGTGCCACCACAATCACAAAAGCAACTTCGACACGACCCCATGAGCGGTCCTCCGTCCAGCTTTGTGCCTCGTAGCATGGGCCTCCCGCCGCTCTCGCACGGCGGCCCGCGGTCGTCCATGATGTCGGTCGAGTATGACGGCATTCCGTTGCCGCCGCCCAGCATCCGCTCCTGTGGCTCGCAGCAGTACGTCACGAGTTACATCCCCACGGGCGCCGCGTTCGCGCCCCACAGCGTCCAGGACCTGATCTCGAGCATGAAGTCCTACGCCAGTGCAACAGACCTCGTGCGCACGTACAGCGACATCCCGTCGGTCGAAGAAGCGCTCGTGACGCTCGATCGCGCCGCAGTCGCGCTCAGTGCGAGGCGCTATCGCGACGCGCTCAAGTTGTACTTGGAAGGCGGGTACGCCATGGCGAACGTAGCGGAGCGCCAGACGCACGCCAAGATCTGCAACTTGTTGACGAGCAAAGGCTTTGAGACGTTGAATTGGTGCGCGCGGCTCTGTGATTGGATCGAAGGGCGCGTGCAGGAGAAACACCCGCGCCCGGGCGTGCACAAGGTCGGGATCCCCGTGAGCAATTGGGACGAGGACTGGGTGGGCCCGAGCTTGGACGAAGAAGAGGCGCGTCGGCTGTGGTACACGCCCGTGTATTGTCCGCACCCAATGGACTTTTCCAACTTCGGGTACCGGTTGCGATGTGTAGAGACGGGACGACGGCCGCGTCTGATGGTGTGCATCACCATGTACAACGAAGAGCCAGAGCAGTTGAAAGCGACACTGAAGAAACTCGCGAACAACTTGGCCTATCTGAAAGAACAGCAGCTGACGGAGCAGCAGTCGCGCAAGAACAATCTTCACGCACCCGCGGGGCCGTTCACGGGCGACAATGTGTGGCAGAACGTGCTCATCTGTATCGTCGCCGACGGCCGCGAGCAGGTCAATGACAAGATGCTCGAGTACTTGGAGTCAATCGGCTTGTACGATGAAGACCTCTTGACCATCAATAGCGCCGGCATTGGCGCACAATGCCATTTGTTCGAGCACACGCTGCAGCTCTCAGTGAATGGCAAGTGTCTCTTGCCCATTCAGACGGTGTTCGCTCTCAAGGAGCACAAGTCGAGCAAACTGGACTCGCACCGGTGGTACTTTAACGCGTTCGCCGAGCAGGTGCAGCCGGAGTATACGGCAGTGATGGACGTTGGCACGATGTTGACAAAGTCTGCGCTCTATCATTTGCTCTTTGCGATGGAACGCAACCACCAGATCGGTGGAGCTTGTGGACAGCTGACAGTGGACAAAGCGTTTGAAAATCTGAGCAATTGGGTCGTCTCGGCGCAGCATTTCGAGTACAAGATCTCGAATATCCTGGACAAGTCGCTGGAGAGTTGTTTTGGCTTCATTAGTGTGTTACCAGGAGCGTTCTCTGCTTATCGCTACGAAGCTGTTCGAGGAGCTCCACTGGATGCGTACTTTCAGACGCTCAACATTGATTTGGATGTTCTGGGACCTTTTCTCGGCAACATGTACCTCGCTGAAGACAGGATCTTGTCGTTTGAAGTTGTGGCGCGGAAAGACTGCAAGTGGACGATGCACTACGTCAAGGACGCGGTCGCTCGTACAGACGTCCCGCACAATCTTGTCGGTCTGATCTCGCAGCGTAAGCGCTGGCTCAATGGCGCGTTTTTCGCCACGCTCTTCAGTATTTGGAATTGGGGTCGTATCTACTCGGAGAGCTCGCACTCGTTCTCGAGGAAGATGGCGTTCCTGGTGTTGTACCTGTATCATCTACTGTACACGGTGTTCGGCTTCTTCCTGCCTGCGAATCTGTACCTGGCGTTATTCTTCATCGTGTTCCAGGGCTTTCAGCAAAACCGTCTCGAGTTTGTCGACACTTCTGGCTACTCGCAAACTGTACTGGACTGTGCCGTGTACATGTACAACTTCGCGTACCTATTCGGTCTGCTGATGCTCATCATTATCGGGCTAGGCAACAACCCGAAGCACATGAAGCTCACGTACTACTTCCTGGGCGCTGTATTCGGTGTCATGATGATGCTCTCGTCGCTCGTGGGCGTCGGCATCTTCTTTTCATCGCCAGCAACTATCCAGTCGATCGTCGTGTCGATCCTTACAGTCGGCGTGTACTTCATCGGTCCAGCCCTTCACGGCGAAGTGCACCACATCTTCATGACGTTCACGCACTACACGGCCTTGATCCCGAGCTTCGTGAACATCGCGACCGTCTACTCGTTCTGCAACCTGCAGGACTTGTCGTGGGGCACGAAAGGCCTGCACGACGATCCACTGCTGGTCTCGCTGGATGAGACCGAAAAGGGGGACTTTAAGGACGTGATTGCCAAGCGTCGTGCGGTGGAAGAGTGCCGTCGAGAGGAGAAAGAGCGTGCTGAGAACAGGAAGAGGATTTTCGAAGCGTTCCGCACCAACATCCTCCTCACTTGGGCGTTCTCCAACCTCATTTTCGCGCTCTTCATCGTGTACTTCACCACTTCGTCGACGTACATGCCCCTGCTATACATTTGTGTGGCCGGCATCAACTCCTGCCGACTGCTCGGGTGTATTGGTCACTGGGTTTACATGCGCTCGACCGGACTGCGTGATCGTGTTTTTGACAAGACGGAGTGTGGGAACGGCACTGGGCGGTACCCACAGAACTCGTACGTGCAGCTTGATGAGCACTATGCTGCCCTCACAGAAGACCAGCGCGCTTACTCTTCTGAACGCACCAATGCGTCCACGCGTAGCAACAATGACGTTTTCTCGGCCGCGTAATGGGGCACAGTACTACTCAAATGAGCTCGCTGCGATCGCATGCAGATCCGCTACGGGCCGTCGTTCCCATTGACGTCGTCGGCTAGAGCGTTACAAAGGGCCAAGCATCCGTCGGCTGCTACTAGAATATAGCAAAGTGCAGCACGCCGCTTACCGCCAGCCACGAAACTGAAGTGGCGAGTAAGTCGAACATTCATGAGTTTGATTAAGAGTTACGTAGATGTTAATGCATACTTCGACGGACGTTAATGTGTTTTGCGCGCTATACAACCGTATCGTAGATCTCGTGGTCGTGTAACTCTTGTTTTATTGGCGATGGCGTGGACAAGAGGTGGTCAGTTGCTCTTTTCTGGCCCTCTGTGAGCAATGGCGTCGTCGATGACTTGGCAGTAGGGTGATCATAGGTTGTGAAGTCGACCCGACGTATGCATGTCAAGTCCAGTACGTTGAAGTCTAACAAGATTGCAACGTTTGCTTTGACACAAAGCGATACCACGGGCATGACAGCAACGTCTTGCCACGTGCCCTGAGCAGAGGAACCTGTGTGTATCCAAGGCACAGAATAATTGCCATGCTTGAAGACAAATGAGCAGCCAGGGCTAGCGGTAAAACACGTGAGCAGACGCGACATGTCGACTCGATTGACATCACGCAATGAAAGCTAGCTCGCTCGCGTAAGCTCGACTAAGGGTGCGTAGCCAGCAAGATGCACAATGACGTGCGATTGCTACATGTCCAGCACATCATCCAGCCACTCTTCGAGCTGCTCCGTTTCTGCCGGAGTTGTGCGTGCTGGTTCTGACGAGAAAAGTGGCGGTGGAGGAGTCTGTTGAACCCCGCTGGGTGTTGTTGACGCACTGAGATGGAGCAAAACGTCGAGCTCGTTGTCGTGGTGTGCAGCTTTCGGCAGAGCTGGAGCCACCGCACTCGGTCCATCAGTCGCAACGTCATGATCAGACTCACTACGACGGTCCAGTGACTTGAATGGAAAGTCAGTCTACGGCAACAAAATCACCGCAACAAAGGTCAGCGCACGAGAGACAATGGAGGACGTCATTAGCAGCTGAACTGACTCACACAGTATTTAGGGTCGATCCGGTAGCGAATGTCTGGAGACACAAGCTCCAATTGCGAGGCGATCCAGTCCAAATTCTATACAGCAATGCAACAAGTACAGCAAAGAGCATGGACAAACACAGAAAGAAAGAAAAATCATAACGACCTCGTGTTGCACAGAGGAGCCACAAAAGATGCACCGAGCAGTTCTGTTACCAGCACTCCGACAGCTCCAACGTCGTCTGCACTGTCGTCTTTCTGCTCCCACTGCTCCATCACGCGACTCCGAAAGTGTCCAGACGGTACTGACCCCGTCGTGTCTCGGTAGTTCTGCTCCGATGCAAAGAACTGCGTGCGCTCGCTTTCAAACGCGTGATCTGCCACTTGCTCAACGTCTTGCGTCTCTTCGAAGCGATAGGCATTTGAGCCAAGATTGTCCAAGGGTCGAGCACGATTCCGATCACCTGGTCCAGTACGGTCCCTTCCGCTATTGCTGTTGACCCCACGTCCGCGCGACGAGCGATACTTTACTTGAGACCTCCCCATGCAAAAACACGAACGAATTTGAAAGGGCTAAACCTCTTTTCCAGTTGCGGATGACGATTCGAATCTCTCGATGTTGTTGACATTGTCCAAATGCGACTCTACTTTTGTACGGCGCCAAGCGTCGAATAGAAAAGGCTACAAAACAGGCTCATAAAACCGAATCGACTCCATTGTTCCTAGTTTACCGGTAGGCAAGTTAGAAGTCTCGCAGGACACTACTCACTACTACTACCGGCAGCTAAACGAACGACCAGGTTACTTCTTCGACTTCTTCGTGGCGAGCTTACGCTGGTAGAACTCAAGCTCCTTGCCTTCCAGAATGTAGCCATCGGCGCGGCCCGACTGGCCCGGACGAGACGAGATGACAGCCAGCAGACGGCCAGACGTGACCTGGTCGTCGATCTTCGAGTCCAGTTCGCGTGTTTTTTGACGCTTCGCGAGCTTACGCAGCACGTGGCTCGACTTCTTCACCTCTTCTTCTTCCTCGACCTTTTCGGCATTCTTCTTGACGCCAATTTTGACACCGTAGTGCGCCTCGTACCACTGACGGAAAGGCGTGGCGTCCACCAGCACGACCGCGCCCTTCACAAGCGTCTTGGTTCGCACAAGCTCGTTGTTCGACGCATTGTACACCACATCGAGGATACGCGTCTTGCGGGCACACACTTCCGTGCCCCACGAGAAGTTGCCCGTTTCCAAGTGCAGCGCACGGAACTTGAGGTGGCCACCACGCACACGCACCGTGTGGACGCGCTTGCCGCCTAGTTTCGTAGCCGCTGGCTGACGCCCGAGCTCGAATTTCCTTTTCTTGCGGAACTGCTTGCGCTTGCCACCAGTTTCACGGCGCTTGTGACGCGAGTCACGAGAGATGCCTGGAGAAACACACCTAGACAGTTAGACAATTGACATACCACCACCAGTATTCGCTCCGTCAGACCAGCGTCATGGGAATCGCTGCGAGACGGACAGCCCATAGACTCGAATGCTGCACGAACGAGATAACAGCAGAGAGTCTAGGGCTGGTCAAGGCGGGGAGACTCTACCAACTCGCTCATGGCTGAGAGAGAAGGAGAGACTCGATACCCGACGCTCGACACATGCAAAAGCATCTCCGTCTCACGCATAGCTCCACGGCAAAGGGATGCGAAGGTGCAAGAAGCGACAGAGAGAGTGGAAGCTGGAGCGCTTGCTTACCCATGGTTCCGACGGAGTGAGTTCGGATCTGAGCCTAAGAGATGGAGGACCAGTGTGTCGGCGACAGAAGTGAGCCGCTCACAGCCAGTCAGTCGATCGGTAGAGTACCTTTGCTACCGGTACCTACCGATATGAGAGAAGTATACGGTAGAGTCACCATGTATACACGACGATTTCGCAGATACATTTCAGCCGTTTTTATAAAAGTGCTTTTTGGCATTTTGACACGAAGATGCAGAACGAGGACTTCTCCGCCGAGCTCCTGCAGCTTTATTACCGTACGTTCCACGCATCGATTCGCACGACTATCTCAGTCCATTACATGCGTCGCATAAGCACTTATTGATGACTCTCTTGATGCTGTCAACGTCTTGATGACAACCCGTAGAGCGACTGTTCCCGTACCAACAGATAGTCCAGTGGCTCAGCTACGACAAAGGTGTGTCTCTTATGACAAACGACAAAGCACGTATACATCTGACATGTCGACATGATTGGTACTTGTACTGTGTCAGGCGAAGCGTTTTTCTTTCGTCGCGAGCTCTCGTATACGCTCGAGAACGACACGTACATCCGGTACAAGTCGTTCCACAATGCTGACGAACTCAAAAGCAGCATGAACGCAACGCTGCCTTACAAAATTGATATCGGAGCCGTCTTTTCCGTGTCCCCCATCGACAAGGGCAAAGTCAGCGCCGCCGATTTCACGCCCCAGCAGCGCGAACTCGTGTTTGATATCGATCTGACCGATTACGACGACATTCGAACGTGCTGTGACGGTGCATCGATTTGTAACCGCTGTTGGAAGTTCATGATTGCTGCAGTTGAGGTGCTCAATGCCGCGTTACGGGACGACTTTGGCTTTGAAAACATTCTCTGGGTTTACTCCGGACGTCGTGGAATCCATTGCTGGGTCGCAGACGAGAAGGCTCGGGAGCTCGAGAACGAAGCACGGTCTGCTGTGGTAGGGTACCTGACGCTCGTGGAAGGCAACGAGAACTCGGCTCGAAAGGTCAAGTTGCGCGAACCGCTGCATCCATCGCTCGCGTGAGTGACATTGTGGTATCGTGCTTGCAAACGATCGGAATGAAGTACTGACGTGTCGTGTGCTGGCTACTACTAGTCGTGCGTACCAGTTACTGGAACCCTTGTTCGAGAGCACGGTTCTGTCCGACGAGGGTCAAGGGATTCTATGCTCTGAAAAGCAGTGGGTCAAGTTGCTGGCAATGGTGCCTGACGAGGACATCCGAGCCAACATGATGCGTCGATGGGGTACTGCGAGCTGCAAGTCGAGTCCAGGAGAGAAGTGGCATGAGCTTAGGGAGGCGGTGGAGAAACAAGTGGTGAAGAATGCAAATGCCATGCGTGGTGGTAGCAGCCTCAAGCGGCCGACACCGAACAGTGATGCGAGCAAGCGGTTTGCCGCAGCCGACCTGCGCACGTGTTTGCGGGAAATCGTACTGGCGTACTTGTATCCGCGATTAGATGCTAACGTGTCGAAGCAACGGAATCACTTGCTGAAGAGTCCGTTCGCAGTGCATCCAAAGACGGGTCGTGTGTGCGTACCCATTGATACGGCCTTGATGGAAGCATTTGATCCGTTCAAGGTCCCTACGCTGGGCCAGCTGAGCGAAGAGCTCGACTCGGGCAAGGCCGCTACGAGTATGAGAAAGTATGTGGACTTTTTCGAGTCTTCGTTCCTAAAACCGTTGGCTGCAGCTGCTAAGCGAAAAGAGCGCGACGCTCGTGAAAGCGAAGCCGCAATGACTGGCGACTGGTAGAGGAAGTAATGCGTGTTGATGGGTAGTAGAATGCATTGCATGGGATGCGAAGTAATTATGGCGTTGTTGTCACGGTATGGATGTCAGGTCTCGCACCGCATCTTACGAGTCGTACTTGACTAACATATTTGGGACGTGGAGTATCTTGCCTGCAGCTTGCAATTTGCAGCCATAATCGAGTGTATGAGTATGACGCTACAGTGGTTGCTGTTCGTGTGCGTTGCTGCAGTCCTTGCTCTTGCAAAGCACCAAAGTGTACGTGACCAGTTCTTGACACGTACGTGGGTGTAACATCGCTTGCATCATGACAATGTAGCGTGTCGATTATCGTTGGCGCAGATAGGATAGCGTAGCGATATGTATTGCATACACCAGCGATCGACGACCTAAGACGTCCAAAGTGTCTTCTCGTCGTACGACATTGCTAGTCGTTGTCGTGTCAATCGAACTTCTGGCGATGATACGAAGTACGTTCACTGGAGGAGTTGCCATAATTAATTCACGGAAGGACAGGTCCGATTCGAGTGGCGGTGCATGAAGTGGGTGGATCATGCTGGTTGCCAATGACGAATGCTTACAGACCATATCTCACGCAATAGCTAAAGCGAACGAAACTGCTGGTTGATGCAATTGCTTCCAGCACACAGACTCGATACGACATAGGCCTTCTCAAAACGTCACACTATTCACTGCAGAGCTGTGGAGCCAATGCACCCGCACCCGTGCCCGTCTTTCAGTTACGAACGAGTCAAGCAGAACAGGTCAATACAACAGATTCTTGACTCGAGACCAGATCCGTATGGGGCTTTGATTTGCAACCCGTGCTTCTTCGACCCGCTTCGCTTTGTATCGATAAGAATTGATGCGTAGGCGGGAACCACGCAACTGTGCGATATTCAATGGCGCAGCTGCGAGGCTAAACAAAGTAAAAGTCAACATATTAACATTGAAGATGAGGATCAAGCTTCTCCGTCCAACGCTACCACTTTTAGTGCAAAGTGGTAGCTGACATGTGACCAGAGCCAGCAACATGTTGATGCCTTTTGGTTTTGGTAAGTATAAATTCAAGGTGACGTGTGCAAAGTCAAGAGAATGCGAACTTCAACGTGGTGGACGTCGACAGAGTGGTGTATAGTACAAACGCGCATCGTATTGGTCTGTGTGGAATGGCACCTGCAGACGGTGGGGTGACGTGAACATATCGCCTGTATTTTGTGTTGCTCGCGAGGCACTTTGGACAACATGGCATTGACGATTACGAGTAGTCGCAGGACACGGTCATGGAGCGACACGAAGGAAAACGCCACACGGAGCCTCAAATTCACATGTCGATCAGCTGTCTTGGGGCCGCGTCAGCTAGCAGATGTATTCACACCCCATGTTGCACACCCTCGATAGTTCATTTCGTGTGCGATAGCGTTGTAGATCCTGCCAGACGCACATGATACTGTCAACGAAACTACCACTTACGTGCGATCAACAGCGCATCTACGGCCATTATCAATACGCACCCGATCGAGATTATACTTATTCGCGAGCCGCTCGAGCCGCTTTGAAGCGGGACACTCGATTGACGGGTTGCTGCAAAAGGCAAGAAAGACAACCAGATAGGGTGACTGTTAGCAATGATGACCTGGTCACAAGGAGCGTCACACAATATGACGTACAGCTTCGCCCACTTGCTCCAACGTCACTGTTTGGCCGGTATAGTTTGTGCCATTGAAGCGGGAATATCGCGGGTTTGGTGACACTACGGACGGAGTCGCAGTTGACGACACATTCTCCTTGACCTCGCGCTCCATGACACTGCCCGAAAATGCGGAAGAGGCAGGCGTGAACGAAGATGACGACCCAATCGGGACTGCCGGTTTCGGTGACGGTGAAGAAGCTGCACTCGGCTCGGAGGTCATTATCGTCGTCTCAACTTTCGATTCTGGTGTCGGAGCAGCATTCTCATACTTACTACCAATTCTTCTGCAGTTCGCCATTTCGCGCATTTGCTTTGCTTTCTTTTCCAGCTTGTCGTCCGTGGGACACAACTCCATCGCACGCTCGAATGCTTCCGCAGCTTCCTCAAACTGCTCCAACGCTGCCAGAGCGCAGGCTCTACGATAATGCCCTTTGACCCACGGCTCATGTAACGAGACGGCGACGTCAGCATCTTCGAGTGCTAGCTTATACTTCTTCAAGCGGTGGTATGCTGCAGCACGGTTGCCAAACAAAATCTACAGACACATCACGGTTCACGACAAGCAGGTGCGTCAGCCGAGCGCTAGGGGATGGAAGCAGGAGAACACACAGCTGAGTCGCACATGAGAGGTCGGGTCCAACTCGATAGCTTGCGAATAATACTGAGCCGCTGCCTGCAATTGTCGTTGCGCAAACGCCTCGTTTCCTTTGGCTTTCAGCGCATCTGCCTGAGCTCCCACTGACTCGTCCTCTTTCGTTGTCTCATTCGTGTTGTCGCCAGCAGCCTCGAGTGCTTCCAGACGCTCCATCCGCTTCATCATGTCGTCCCAGTTCCACGACGTCTGCTCTTGTTTCAATCGCTCTTCCTCTTCTACTTCAAAGTAGTTTGAAATGTCTGCAGCGCACAGTCTCTTACCAGTCAATTCTTACACATAAACTCCAGCACAATCCAATATGACAAACCACACCTTCTTCTGTGGCACGTGGCACCGGTACCACTTCACTCTGTTCCTCTGTCTCTTGTATTTCACGAATGTTCTCGTCCTCGTACATCTTTTTCAGCTGCGCGACACTACTTACGTCTGTCTCTTTCATGCTCAGGTCCCGCAGAATTCCTTCTTGCGTCTCAATCTGCTGCTGCTGCTCTGCAATAACAAGCACAAAAGAAACAACAACAACAACAACACACTTCGTGCATCAGCCTCACATGTACCCATCATCCACAATCGTGACACAAACAGCACTCTGACCCTTTTTCTTGCGCTCGATCAGCTCAACGGCTTGAGACGTCGAGCGCCACGCAAAGTACTCGTCGCCCAAGTGCGCCAGCACTTCATTCGAGCGCACGATCTTGCCAGGAACCATAGCACGCTTCCCCATAGGGACCATCACCCTGTGCGTGAGCTTCTTGGGCAGCTCTGTCAGCGTTTTTGCCACGGAATCGTAGCGGTCCACTTGGTCCTGTAGCTGACACAGCTGCTCACGGACGCTCTCAATGCGCTACACGAATGAAAAGTGCACGAGCAGACGGTCAAGAGAACAATTGTGGAGCATACGCGTCCACGGAAGTCCGCACCTCCTGCAGCACGCGGACATGGCCCGCCCCCGTCGTCGTCTCGGCCGTCGTCATGGCGGTGGTGATCATCCACTGAAAAAAGGGTTACATCGCGTCGTGCAATGACAGCCACTTCACGGTTACTTCTGGTCAGTAACATTCGCCCCACCTGCGGGCTACGTCGCGCAGTCTTAAGTGCGAAGATTTAGCCACTATCCATTAAGTACAGCATGGCGGTGGGCGAGTGCCAGACGAGCAACAGCAAGAGCTACGACGAGGGGGAGGACGGGGAGAGCGACCTCCTGGCGGGACCGGAGACTGTCCTGGACGATGGCGACATTGCGCTGCTCAAGACGTACGGCCTCGGCCCGTACTCGCGCGTGATCAAACAGGTCGAGAACGACATTAAGAAGGCGCAAAAGGCCGTGAACGACCTCATTGGCATCAAAGAGAGCGACACGGGGCTCAGTCTGCCGAGTCTCTGGGACCTCGTGAGCGACAAGCAGATGATGCAGGAAGAGCAGCCGCTCCAAGTCGCGCGGTGTACGAAGATCATCAACGCCGGCGAGGAAGAAGCCAAGTACATGATCAACGTCAAGCAAATCGCTAAGTTCGTGGTCGGGCTTGGGGAAAAAGTCGCACCTACGGACATTGAAGAAGGCATGCGGGTCGGGGTGGACCGTACGAAGTACGCGATTCAGATCCCATTGCCACCGAAGATCGACCCGACCGTGTCCCTCATGACGGTCGAAGACAAGCCAGACGTTACGTACGACGACGTTGGCGGGGCAAAAGACGCGCTTGAGAAGCTCCGGGAAGTCGTGGAGTTGCCGTTACTTCATCCGGAACGATTTGTCAATTTGGGCATTGATCCGCCCAAGGGCGTGCTGCTCTATGGCCCACCAGGCACAGGCAAGACGCTGTCTGCTCGAGCGGTGGCGAACCGCACGGACGCGTGTTTCATCCGCGTGATTGGCAGCGAGCTGGTGCAGAAATACGTGGGCGAAGGCGCGCGTATGGTGCGGGAGCTCTTTACCATGGCGCGGTCCAAAAAGGCGTGCATTGTGTTTTTTGACGAAGTGGATGCGATTGGCGGCGCGCGGAGCAGTTCGGAAGAAGGAGGGACGGACAATGAAGTGCAGCGGACGATGCTTCAGATCGTGACGGAGCTGGACGGCTTTGATCCGCGTGGAAACATCAAAGTGCTCATGGCGACAAACCGACCGGACACGCTGGACCCGGCGCTCATGCGACCAGGTCGACTGGACCGAAAAGTCGAGTTCAACTTGCCGGAGCTGGAGGGCCGTACGCAGATTCTCAAGATCCATGCCAAGAGCATGAACTGTGACCGCGGCATTCGCTTTGAGCTCGTGAGTCGACTGTGCCCGAACACGACGGGAGCTGAGCTCCGTAGTGTGTGCACAGAAGCTGGCATGTTTGCGATCCGTGCTCGCCGCAAATCCGTGAGCGAGAAAGACTTTCTCGAGTCGGTCAACAAGGTCATCAAGGGCTACAAGAAGTTCTCGTCGACACCCAAGTACATGGTCTATAATTAGGCCAGTAGTAGGCGATACGTGCACAGCGGTCGGTGCGACACATGATGGTCTCTGCCATCAGACCAGTAGTTGATCCTTGCTTATGTGGCAACACACAACGTTTGAACGGGCACCGCGAAGCTGAACTGCTACTTCTGCTACACTGAGTAATTGAGCTGAGACAGCACGTATACGTACTACATCCCCGTTTTTTGTATACTTACTACATCCCCGTTTTTTGTATACGTACTCTGCACCCACACTCTCAAAGACAGACAGATAGACAGCCTCTTGGTCGTACACAATGTCTCTTGCACAGCCCGCACCGGCGAAGCTACTGACGCGCTCGGACTTTTCCGTGACGCTCAAGGTCCCGCCCTCTGCTGCCGCTACTTCCTCGTGGCATCGATACGAGTACAAAGAAGCGGGAGCTGCATGGGACGAGCACGTGCTGCACGTAGACGCGCCTCCTGGTGCCTCCTCAGTCGTTCTCGACGATCTCCATCCCACGAGCACATACGAAGTGCGCCTTTACGAGGTCTTGAAGGGCGCAGACGGCAAAGAACAAGTGTCCGCACCCAGTGAAGTGGCTGCAGTGGATACGCAAGTGCCAGGCTGTGGACCAGACTCGGGTCGGGGCTGCATGTGCTCAATCCAGTAAGACAGCTACGAGACGACAGACTGACGGACGGACGAAGTGACTGACGCGTGGTCATCCATTTGTCGTAGCAGTAATAGTGCGGCGCAAGTTTGCTTGATAGCCACACAACTTCCTTCTTCTTCTTCTTCTGTTCGTCATCATCGCCTTGTTCATCTCTTGTTTATGCACTATATACGTTGGTATACACACCTACGTATACCGTATCTGTCATCCCTGCCTTGCACAGACTGTACACGTGAATTGTCTCATCTCTGCAGAGTTCCTGATTGAATGGCAATGGGTACAATCTTATCGTAGTAGCGCCTTCCATCTCACTAGTCGCTCGTCAAGCGGCGACAGGTGCGTCCAAATTGCATCAGCATCCGACCGCGATTTCCACCAGGCAGCCAAAGCGTCCGAATCGCCAAATGCAGACAGCAGAGCATCGAGCACGTCTGCTGCATGACCGTTTTCTACCAAATGAGAGCATGCTTCACTTAGCCAGCAAATCGAAAGGGCTTGCTTTGCAAACAACGGCATGTAAAGCTCGCTCAAGTTGACAGCGAGACGAGGAATGTCGACAAGCAAGTCGACGTAATCGTCCAGGATGCTCTCTACGGCGGCCTCGATATCCTCCGATGCTATCTTCTCGGTAGCAAGTAGCTGTTCCAGCAACCCAGCCACGTCCTTCCGTACAGACTGCGTCGCCTCGAGACCAAATGCTAGCATGATGTGCACAAAGTGCCGCCAGCGATCAGCAACGACATCAACCTCCTCAACGCACTGCATCATTTCGTCAAAGTCTTTGACAGACAAGTATTCCTCCAGCGCACTTCTCATTTTTCCAGCAATCTCAGGATCAAGTTCTCTCTCCTCGTCAGAGTCACCACCAAAGAAAATCTCCATGCCACTTTCACGAAGATAGGCTTTGACGTCGGCCTCATTGTTTCTCATCGCCGCAGGCAAAACGCTTTCCGGTGTAACTTCCTCGTCCGTGAGCATTCGCACCACCGTCCTCTCGTCACTCTCGATTTCCAGCACGGACAGCACTTCAGGAAGGACTTGTGACGCAAGCTTACATTCCACACAATGGGCCAGGGCTCCAGAAATTACCCATGATAAACCAAAACAGCCTGCAGCGACCAGTCGACCAAAGATCAGTGCCGAGTACTGGTGAATGAGCGGCAAGTCGATCTTCATATCTTCCAGAAACTCCATGGCATTCATCAGAGCAGACTGGATGGAATTTGCGTCCAACACACTTCGCTCATATAGCACCACAAGCAGATCCGCCGCATGCTCACGCTCGCTTGTCTTGCCTTCCAACGCGGTATAAATCGCCTGCTCAGCAAATGCAACGTGGTATGGTTCCCTAGGCAACTCCTGAACGCACGTGATGGCTTCGTCCACATCCAAGATGGAGATGTACTCCTGAATGATACTTTTGATGCGGGTAGACAGTTGTGCTGGAGATAACTCTTTCGCGTTGTCCGGCTCAGGCGCTTCAGGTTCATCTGGCTCTATGTGCTTCGCCACAATGAGATTGCTACTCTGCTTCGCGAGCTGTGCACTGGAGACCCGGGTCTTCAGACGGCGCCGTTGCACGTCGTCGTGTTGTGCATTCTTCCCCTGCTGCTGGAGCTTCTGGGCCTCCCTTCGTACCTCTTCCAAGGTTTTCTGTTGCATCTCTTTGCGGCGAGGCTCCCACATGTGATCCCTCGTTTCGAGGACATCCTTGACCAGAAACCGTGCTCGCGAGGGCAACTTCAAATCGTCGGACAGCTCCACCATGCGCAAAATTATGATTTGCATAATCGTCTTCGTGTTTGGCTGGTCAAATTTTTTCCCTGCTGTAACTAGTATTTTACAAAGCGCCTCCAAATCCACTTCGTCGGGAAAGCGGACCGCTTGAGCTTGATCCTCTTGACCCCCCACTCCCGGCATCAACTCCAATCCCAACAAGTAGAAGATGCACCCTTGCACTCCTTTCTGTTTGATCAGATCGACCTTGTACAGCTCACCTATAAATCGAATGTTGCCAAGCATCTTCGCTTTCGAACGAATCGCAAGGACTTCACGTCGTCGAGGGTCAACTTCGTCTTCATCCTGCTTTTCTTGTTGCGGACCAATGTGCTTATTGGCCTTCTCAAACTCAACTTGACAGCGATTAACGAGTAGACGCGTAAAAGTCGTCTGAGTTGCAGCTGCGTGGCGAGCGAGGTGCGCCGACTCGAATGGTCCTCCGAAGGGTTCGTCATCTCTGATATCGCTGACCTTTCGTGTTGAATAGTAAAACGCTCCAGGCTCCTTTTCGCCTACGACAACCAGGTACTCACCGTACAAGCGAAATTGTACGGAAGAAATAGACGCACTATCGCACGGTGCAGTAGCTGCACTTGTGTCCGCTCCAACACTCTCGAGGCAGCTCCGCGGACTGTCGAACGGGCCGACGAATGATTCAAATGTCGCCTTATCGATCGCCGTCCAATAAAACGCCCCCTTCTCGTCACTTAGTACTCTCAGAAAGCTCCATGTTGTTTTTGTCGTCCGCGTATGAAACTCCTTGCACAAGTCCGAATACACGTCCGCAAAGCCAGGCTCTTCCAATGCTTTGTCCATAATTATCGAAACGATTGAGCTGAGCAGAACAAAGCTGTCGATATCGATTGCACAGAGCTCATTCGTCAGCTTCGTAAACTTTTCTCTCGTAAGCTTGTTCAGCAGACTCTTTATATAACTCAGTGTTTTTTCCAGACCAGAAACGTCCTTCTCTTTTGTCGGCTTCCATCGATTCTCGGACACAGTAAGCGGCTCGATGGGACCATCGAACAGCGGCGGAGTAGGCGGGCGGCCGTAATCGCCACGACTCCCTCCCACACGACTGCCGCGACCGCCACCACGGCCGCCACGGCTTTGCCTGTCCCGTCTCCCATCTCTCAAACCAACCTGGTTTCTCGCTCCACGCACGCTAGGCCGAATGTCTGGTCGATCACTCTTTCGGATACTTCTCCCGATCGATCTTCCTATTCCACTTCCTACTCCCAGGCGTCCAAGCGACCGCTTAGGAACGGAGCGCGGGTCGCGGAGTTGTATCCGCTCTACAATTTTCATATCAGGAAGACCAGTTGGCTTGGTAATGGCGAAAGACATCAGTCTGCTCGCAGTTCAAGCACACAACAGCGGTAGTCATTAGCGTAGTGCCCGAATAACAAGAGCAAAATGACGTCACCAGTAACTTACCTTCGTAGCTCGGCAACGGAATACTGCAGTTTCTTCATGCGTGGCGCAGCTAGATGCGGTGACGCGCGGCCTGCTGATCTTTGTGCTGGGACTAGTCCAGTTTGCACCGATGTCGGTGGATTCGACGAAAATGTTCGGCTTGGTGCAGCATTCGTGGATGGAGCCGGCAACATATGTGCTTTCAGCGAGCTAGACGACGATAATGACGACTTGTACGGAGTTACACGCCGCAAGGCTTCCCGTGCCGTATTTTCCTCGTCAAGTTTAGCATAATACTCGCGCGTTCTTTCGTCCTTACTTGTGCTAACAACCATCGGAGCTCCTTCCTTCGCACCCTCTCTTCTCACACCAAATGGACGGCTTTGTGCCCTGTTTTCCGTTACACTCGCACAACCTAGCGGTGCTTTCATCTTTTCAGCCAAGCTGTCACCACCTCCTAGCTTTCGCAATTCCAAGCGCTCTCGAAGAGTAACAGCACGACGTGTACGCTCGGCTTCACCGACAACTGGAGTGTCAGAACCGTCCTTCGTTTCGTAAGCAGAAATCGATTGCTTTGGCTTTGGCGATGTTGATCCACTTCTTCCATCGTTTTGGTGGGCTGAAGACGACGGCTGCAAATTTGGTGAACAATCACCGTTAGAGTCACCCCTGTCTTCCAATGATCCAGCCGGAGTATCTGAAACAGCACGCAAAGACGAAGCACTATCGCCCAGAGATGACCGACGCGATGGCTTGTCCTGTGCCGGTCTACTGAACGAACGCTCAGACGTGTGATGTTCTTTTGGATGACTGACATCTCGTAGACTATTTGTAAGGGAAGCAATTCCCGCTGTCGTCGGCTTGAAGTGCGCTTTTCCACTCCATCCGCCCGACAGTCGACGATTCGATTGCAGGCTGCCATTGTTACTCGGGCGGTTCACCTCGACGTAGCGCTCACTACGGTGACTTCTGTCGCTGCGGTCAGAGCGCACTGAAGATACGCTATCCACGCTGCTTTTTCTAGCTGGCCGCCTTCTCGACACCGACCCGTCATCATATTCCAATGTTTTACCACGATACGATCCCTTTCTGGTTCCCATGCTGTTCACTGGCTCCCGGCTGATCGAGCGACGTAGTGACGAGCCCTGCATACGTGTTTCACTCCTCTCGCCCCCCGACGCTCTTGCATCGCGAAATCCTCCATGACCAATCGACTGTGCCAAGCTGCTGACAAATGCTTTCGTCGACTCTGTCTCCTTCTGCGGCGATGGAGACGGCCGCAAACTACTCGGTGCAAGTCCTTTCATCGGCACCTGCGCGGCACTTTTCTTTGGTGTAAGGCTCTTTGGCCGCTCGCTGCTGCGATCCCGATTCGAGACAGCGCTGTCGCGATTCCCGCGGACAAAGCGTTCACTTCGCTTTACTGAGTCTGGTGTTGCCGCCAGCGAAGACCTCAACGAGGACTCATACGGAGCATGAGACGATACCTCAACATCTTTGCTTGTAGCGTCGTCTCGTACTCCTGGCACGGATCGACATTTGGTCGTGGCGCTGGTATGTCCACCAGTGTCTTCCACAAATTCGTCTGCTGCAATCTGCACACGTCGATAGGTCACGGCACCGCTGCTTTGCTTACGTCCATAGCCCCTGCTTCGACCCCCGCCTGTACCATAGAATTGCCATACTTAGCCAGAAAGTATGAACGGCGGCCACGACTGTTCATTCTTCGTCCATGTCACCGTATAGACGACTGCATATGTATGTATTGGATCTGTAGCGAGATAGAGTCAGTCGTACCTCTGCGGTTGACGCCCGTACATGGCTTTCCATCCATGTAAGAGACACTCGCGAGTGCTGTCACGATCGACGGTCGCCTCAACTTACCTGCTGCTTCTCTCCCTCTGTCTTTATCTCGCTCGCTCGCTCTTTATCTCTGTCGCTTGATGCCTGGAAGTCTTGCTCCCCTCAAATCAGTCTCGCGGTTGTTCGATGGGTACCACTCAGCTGGTACAGTCCGTGGTGTCTGGGTCAGTATTGGGCCTAGTTTAGGAAATGCGTACCTCGTTGATCTGTTTTGGTACAATGTGTCGACTGGGCAATTGGGGAGAGCGAGGCTAATCAGAATAATTGCATTCCCGCTGAGTACGAACAGGCTCAGCGATGGGGAACCACAGTGCGCAGATCATCATTCTTACAGCCGTCACTTTCTGCGCTGAGTCTCGTACGAAGCCTCGCTTGTGCGACGGTGAAAAGGGGTTGCACGAACAAGCACACCACTTCTACGCCGGCTGACCCGTCCTTCAGACCAACACGCTACTACACCCGATGGACAGCGTTTATTACGTTCGCCCATAACTTTTGTGAGATAATAAAGGTCATGGTGCCAACGAAACGCAATATGCCGAGTGCGTCAACTAAACGTAGGATTCGTTTCAATCACAGATTCAGCTAGGTTGGTATGCTCATGCGGAAAATGTACACTCAGAGCAGAGAATACTGCAATCAGAATGTTCCTTCAACACTGGCCTTCCATGCAGTACAGTTCACAAGCCGCAACATACTCGGCCTCAATGGTACGGTATTTGTTGTTGTCTTGACGCCCGTGAATTCTCAATCCTGCGGATTATGAAGACGTATCTGGTCATGCTCTTTGGAGCCAGGATAGATGCCCAGCCATCGACACTGCAAGTCTAACGGTGTTACGAGTCTGTTGTTTGCAACTTTTGCGTACTGGGTCTGACAATAATTACATCTGAGGAATATGATATCGTAGAGGTGCGATGTAATCTCGTTACAGTGCGTCAACGGCTAAAATAGGCGTTATCGAAATGGGTAAAGATCCTAACCGTAATGGTTGCACCAAGTACGCAGATATCAGCTGCGGGCCTTCGTCAGTCATTCAGACATGCTTAGCTTTACCAAATTTGGCGGTACAACTACGTGTAAAAGTTTTCAGGCGATGTTTTATACAATATTTCTCATTTTAAAATCTGCTCACGTTTTTATACGACGGAGTGTGAGCCTCACGGCGCCTTGCTCTTGAGAACTTTGTGCTGTGACACTATCTAGTAATCGCCTGTATCAACAAAATGGACAATGCTCCTACCTGTTCATTCCTACCTGTTCATTCCATCCAGTTAGAAACTTCAGATCAAGTATCTTATTCTGGCTCATGAGCTGCGCTAAGCGCGGAACAGGTACGCTTTGTTACACTTCTTTCAATCAAAACGTAATCAAGAAGCATATCTCTATCCGAAGCCCTCACGGCTGTAGCGTCAGTCTCTTGGTCGAAATAATGTTCTTGCGAAACCATCATCCCATCTACCACGGTATTCTAGTCATTATCGGCAATTTAGAGCCTGTTTGCCAGAATATACGAGTTCTGCGCCCTGCCGGTTCTTACTGCAACATCGAGGTCACTTGCTGACCAGACTACGGGTAGCATTAAATCCACTACTTCTACAAGGATGATTGAATGCTTGCTGCACACATGCTGAGCTTGCTTGGTCCAGATACGTTGGTGTAGAGCCTCGATTGTACGCTACTTGCTCCTTCGTTTCAGATGATCGTGCAACTCGAGTTGAATGGACGCCTCAAACATTCTTAGTAAAAGACATGTTAGCATGATCTTGCTCTTGCAGCGAGAAGCGGATGTGTTCATGAAACAAGGGATATCATAGTCTTGAGATGATCTTGCGAGGATTGGATGTATATGGTTTAGTTATTTGGGGAGCTGGTGCCAGGATGGAAAGTGCCGTATTGAAAGTAGTTTTCGTGCACATGGTCAGCGTACTTATATAAATCACCAAACAACATGTTGTTCAAGAGTTTGTTAGGTTCAGCAGCTACTGATAGTTTCTCGAGGACTGAAAAGGATGGAAAGAAGTAACTCCATTCAGCCTTAATACGTACTCGCGTCTAACATTGAGCATGCATACATTCCAGGCTTGCATGATAAAATTGCTGTTATTTCTTGCGGTTATCATTGTACCATCATCATATCAGGAATGATCGGTATAACTCATGATAACTTATGATCTGCGCAATGATTGATTGCCTGAAGGTGAAAAAATAGGCAGGCATGCCATCTTAATTGCCGGGGTTGACCGCGCGCTAGACACATTCAATCAGTCTGCCATTCGGCGGCTAAGGGGTGTACACAGGAAAGACAAGTCGCGTCTACCAATGTGTCTCCTTCTGCGCGAGAACATGTACGTCCTTCCACTACGATTGAGGTGGAACGTGTTAACGGTATGGTCGATTCCGTGATCTTATGAGACTTAGTGTCCATCTAACCCGTAGCGACAGATTTTCATTATTTTTTTTATTTTGAGGTCGATCGGCTTTGGTTGGAATACGAGCCGGCGTTCAGTTCACAAATTACAGGGGTTTACAGAACAGTTCGAATGATCAAGCGAGGAAAATCGCTTCTGAGGTGGTAGAAGAACGCATGATTGTTTGATCGGAGCAAATGAGGTGGTGTGCAGTGTTGCGCATCCAACTAGCACAATATCATAGTTACTTTCTCTATCAGCGGGTGGAATGCAGGACTACGTGGATGTCTTGTCCTGAACACTACTGATACCATTAGCTTATTTGTATGCTAAGCTGCAATATAATGCATGATCAAAAGCAACGGTCAAACTGAGCGCAGTATCAATGCTCGATGACTAGAATCTCCTCATGTGGGATCGCTCAAGAAACTGCTACTGTATACGACAACAACGCATCAGCTTGAGTATGGTTAGTTGATCGGCATTAGACGTGTTACTGAGCAGAACGCGAACGCCTTCGGTGCATCACGTTTCCATGCTATAGCCCCCATCAATCCCACACAAACGGGGAGTTTGGGACCGAAGTGCAAGTAATGGGGACGTTACATTGAGATCACTCGTCGCACGAATGTGTGCGAACCGATTGCGAAGCGTCGCACAGAGTAAAAATGCACATCAGTAAGACGCTTCATATTCGACCACTCAATTTGCAGGGTTGTCTGCGCGTTCCTTCTTGGTAGATGGACTTGTAGACTACGACTTGCGCCAGTCAATGGTCAAAGTGTTGTCGGCACGTTTTTGTTTCATGGTGGGGATTCCTGACACGCTCGGCAAAAGTCCATTCCTTTGTCATCCTTCACGAGCACAAAGTTTTCTGGAATTATCTCGGTACCTTCGTAAACTTTCCATACCAAGACAGTTTAGGAGTAACGTAACGGTTTCTTTTTGTCATTGCCATGCAATCATCTAACATGTTCGTCATCGTTGGCTATAGATTTTTAGTAAATGGTGCAAGACAAACAAAGAGAACACCACAATCTTCGCGAGCACACAAGGCCTAGTGATAAGACACCACTGTAGGCTGTTTATTTTGCACTGAAAACACCTGCGGCGCCTAATGCGTCGTACCGATGCAACGATCAGGAGATGCCACAGCAAACATGGATTTACATGGTGCACTCAATACACTCTTTGATGCGTCCGAGCAATTGGAAGACACCTATGTCACGAGGCTGGTATGCAAAACGAGCGTCAATGTAAAAGTGTGGTGATGTGCCGCATGAAGTTTTCCCACCTCGTTGAGCCCGTTGTCCTTGCGTGTTCGCATGACGTCGATGAACTCCTTCGTCGACAAATGTCCGTCGCCTGTGACCAACATGACGCCACACTTAGACGAGCGCTCGCTCAGACGGTGACAGATCTAGTGCACATGGTACCGTTGAGGTCAAACAGAGCAAAGAGGATGTCGATTTGCAGAGGGGTGATAACTTTGGTGTAGATGCTTCCGCACATTGCTGCCTTCGTAGCGCGCTGAAATTGCACTGCGTCGCAAGTTCTGTCATACGCCGCAATCCAACTCTGCACGCAACTTCGACTGCAAAGATCTAACCTTTGTCCACACCATGCGCCTGCATCACGAGATCCATGGCCACTTCCAACTTGTCCAGGTGTTCGAGAAGAATGCTGAAATCCATGTACTCTTGCTCCGTGACGTGACCCTGCACACGAGATACTCACGACGTTGGCATACATACTTGTATATCAGTGGACGACACCACCGCAAACAAACCTTCATATCACACAACTTGTCCACGCGCTCGACCCATTTTCCAATGTGACGCTAAATGTGTCCGACAGACGAAGTTCACTCTTTTAGATTGTTGTACCACAATAACTTACACCGATCTCTGGTTAACAAAATGGAACCTGATGAACGTGTGAGACCAAGAACATGCCAAACTCCCGCGGCGAAAGAGCGTTGTCGCTATCTACATCATACTGCTCAAAGTAAACAAACGTCAAGGAGACCAGCTGTCACACGATTCAAATGAAACAAGCATCCAATGACTAGCACAAGACGTGAAAGGATATCTGAATGCGCATGATCTCGTGCTTTAGACCGCGACGGAAGGCACAGAACTCGTCGTACGACAGCGACTTCGTGGCCAGCTCGCCAAACAAGTGCTTGAAGATGGGCACATTGTCATCATGCAGTGACCGGTCTTGGCGACCTGCAGGCGTTCGCAGCCGCATCAAGTCCATGATCTGTCAATAAAAATGAGCAACACGTAATTACACCAAACAACTCTCGGCCACAACAGCATGACGGGACAACACCTGCTGGAACTCGCGATGGTCAAGCTGGCCATTGTCGTCCGTGTCAAACATCTTGAACGCCAACTCAAAGTGCTGCTCCGGAACTCACAAACACAGCAAAAATAGCAACCACGACAACGAAACAACAACGTCAGCCTCTTCTTCCATGATCTTCCACAGCACAAAACATTCCCACGCACTCACTCACTTGCAAGCAGCGTGCAAAAGAAACTGTACTCGGCGTACGAGATAAGTCCGTCGCCGTCCGCATCGACCATATCGAAGAATGTCTTTGCACGCGGCGGTGAACACCCGTAGAGCTCAACGAACTGATCGAACTCGGCGTTCGTAATCTCCAGTGCCCTCAGCGTCTTGACGTGCGTCTCAAAGTCCACGTGCTGCTCGTCTCGGAACGCCAGCAGCTCCTGCACGTCCGCTTGCGACACGCGATCACTCTCGAGCAGGAGCGTCTGCACGCGTCGCAGGTATTCGTCCGCTACGGCTTTCGGCGTCTTGTCGGCACTGGCTTTGGCGTTGAACTGCGGGTTCTTCGACAGCAGCGGAGCTCCGTGGCGATAGGGATAGGGCGTCACGGCCCGCGCCAAGTCGCCTCGCGTCATGTACGGCCGGTCGTCGATCTCAACGCTCGAGAAGTACGCGAACACGCGCTCGGGCGAACTGAACTGGCGCAGGCGGTTCTCGTACTTGCCGATCGTGCGCTCGGAGAATGTTGGCTTGGCGAATGAGGCGTCCTCGTCGCAGGAGGCTGGACAGACGCGAATGGCGGTGAAGGTGCTGGCGGCAGCGAGCGCTATCACGGAGCGGGGGGACGCCACGGCGCGCAGGAACAAGCGCGACATGCTGCTTGGCGTCGCGTCGAAAGGGTCGACGGAGTGCGGTGCAGAGTATCCGTTCTTACAGTGTATAGACGTCGAGAGGAGAATAAGAAGCTACAGGGTGGTAGACGACAGTGGTATCACAATATGTGCAGCATGAGACGGACGTGTCGAGTCAACTTAATGTATTGGCGATGTGAAATGCTTCTTCTGTCTCTGCTCGGACGCAGTTACTAAATAGGGTTTGTGACAACTGACGGGGCTGGCGAAGCTGCTCGTGGTGTCGCACAAGTAGTGGTCCGCAGCCAGCGCCGTCTCTCTCTCTCTCGCTCACTCGACATCTCGTCCCAAGAGCTCCGTCCGTTCTCCATTGGCAGCGCTTCCACGCAGAACGAGATGCGGTAATACCGTCCCAGCCACTCTCTCCGTCTCAGTCGCTCGGTCACGCTCTCGCGCGTCAGTCGTCAATGTCCATGTCCACTGGCTCGTCATTATCCGACGACAGCTCCTCGAACCGCACCGCGTGGTCCTCACCGCTGCTCTCCGACGTCGAGTCCCCACCGTCCGCCAACTTGTCACTGTCCTCCACCAGCTCCACACGCGCTGCCGGAGCAGCCAACGCCGCCGACTGGTACGGGTTGAACACCACCATCGCTCGACACGAGTCGTCCTGCCAGCCGCTTCCCGTCGCCATCAGCTGCTTCACGTGCCACGGCTGCTCACCCACAGCTCGCGTCGCGTACTGCAACGACCGCCGCGCGGGCTGTGTTCCGTACGCAGCCGCAGGGACCAGCGCCTTGTGCGCGCGCCACGTGGTCCGCGGCGTCGCAGCCTCTTCGTCCGTCATGTCCGAGTCCACGTCGCTCGTGAGCGGCGACTCGGCAGGCGACGACACGCGCATCCGCTTCAGTCCGTTCAGTAGCACTGCGCGGCGGTCGGGTCGGTGCTGCTGCTGCGGGGGGTAGCGCTCCTGCACGAGGTCGTCGCTGGTCCTGTCCTGCTGGTCGCGGGCCCTCTTCACGGCGCTTGGACCCGTTATACCTCGCGCACGACCGAAACGGCGCTGCCGCAAGTCGCTCTGACTGCGCTCGAACATGTATCCGGCCTGATTGTTGAGGCCGTAGGTGCACACGCCGCCGTAATTGGACTGTCGCATGGAACTGCGGTGTCGCCGCTGCTGCTACTTCTGCTACTTTTCGAGACGGTCGTGGTGGACGCACGTTGACAATCAAAAAATGGTCAGGTGGGAGGGACTGCGGATTACTCCCAACGCGTTGCAAGATGGGTGTAGCACACGAAGCGAACGGGCGACGTCTGTATACGTAGGGGTTGTGACCAGCGAGAGGACATTATCAGAAGGGTATGCCCTCCCTGTCTCGATCCGATTTGCACGCGCAAGACAGCACCATAGTTAGCGCAAGTAGATCGAACGCCTTCGAGACAACGCGCGAGACGACGTCCCACAAACCTTCTCGAACAATCGCGAAGCACGGGGCCACACCTCGAACAACGAATGGTCCATCCATTCCACCAGACAACCAACAACCTACCCCTGACCTTTTTTTGGTCTCAGCGCGCTCAAAACGACGCCACCAATTTTAGAACGACCAAATGGACGACCAACTGCTTCCCATCTCAGCGCCCGCGTCGGCTCTACGGCGTTGGCGGGAGCGTCTCATCGCATCGAACGTGTACATGCGCTATGACTATGCCTGGTACATGTCTCTCTATCTTTTTTCTTTTTTACCGCACTCAGTTTGGTTGAAAAACGGTACACACTACTCACACAGGCAAAGTGACTCCAACTGAACCCGTCATGTAACCCATATAAATACAGGAAAGAAGGCGAGTTCCAGGAAGCCGAAAATCGTCTCACGGGTGTTGGCTGTCGCCTCCTGTACCTACACGCGTCGTGGACCGAGGCGTATCGTTGCCGCGTATCATCCGCTGATGCTGTCGTGCTTCAACGCAAGACGTTCATCGAGGCCAATGGATTTCCAGAGTTTCGAGAGAGACTGTGCAGAGCATGCGAGCTGATGGGCTACGAGACAGTGGCTGACCCATTGGTGGCAGACTTGATCTTTGTGTTTGTGGCTCCGCCGGGCGAGCAACGGATTGAAGCGAGCCAATTTGGGACGTTCCAGAACGTCGTTGAGCACTCGCAGACGGTGGAACCGAATGGCAAACCCATGTTCTGCTTTCTGCTGGGCGACGCCGCCTTTCTTCCACTGCCCAAGACAGAGGAGGACGAGAGTGCACGCAGCCTTAGTGATTTTGCGATCTCGCAGGAGTTTGCTCCGATTGCCCGTGCTGCGGATTACGGATCGGTGGCACACTTTGCGGTCGAGTTTGTGCCTAAGAGTGCAGAGAGCTTGAGTGACGATTATAAGGAAAGAAAGACGCTCAAGCTGGACTCGTTGATGGGCAGGTTTGGGTGTGTGGGTCAAAACCTCATGCATCACGCCGAGAAGTGGGAGTTTTACGCTCCTTGCAGCAGCGTGTTTTGCCACGAAGAAGATGATGTGGAAGGAGTGACGCATCCGAGCGAGGAAGACATGCTGTTCTGGTTTCGAGAGGCCAAGGGCAAGACTTGTGACCAATGTCATACGCGCTGCGACAAGTTGTCTCGTTGTGCAAGATGCCGTGATGCAGAGTACTGCTCCCGGGGTTGTCAGCAAGCGGCGTGGAATCTGCACAAACGGGTGTGTGGTAAAACGCCCGAGCAGATCAGTGCAAAGTAGTGAATTGTGTCGCACCGAAGCGACAAGCGCCGGAGAGCCGATTGATGTCTCCGTTGAGTTGAGACATTGCGTCACGTCGGCAAGTGCTACGTCATAATGTATTTGTTTAGCTCTTGTACGCACGTGAACACCGTAAATAAAATGAAGTGCAAAGTGGCTGATGTGTACACTAAGGAAAGCGCAGTAAATGTTGTGCTAGTTCTTAAATGAACGTGCCAAAAGTGACGGCAAATACCGAGTTGATCAACCATAGCGATCAAAATATTGAACAACAAAACGTAATTGTGTCATCGCAAGTCGCCACGCAAAATATCATGTCCAGGTTAATAAGCTGGCAACGATGATATCTTCTTTACAACATGTCCTTCCACATGTGCGATAGTCCACCATTTCATATTGAACACGTCCTTGTGTCATGGTTTTGTACTATTTGTCACCCTGCTCCTACAAAGTGACTACAAAGATGCCGTGTGAGTGAAAGTCACCAAATAACATATGCTGACATCTTCGACAGGATGTTGCAACGAACAAAACATTGTGATGGAAAAGAGCGGGTGATCCCTCGTTGACATTGTACCGGGATTCGAGATGGACCGAGCTCGTGGCTCCGTGGGAAGATGTGTATCACAACGTTTGTCCTTTTCCTCGCTACGTGTCCGTTATGCTAATGGGATCTTGTTCAATGTCATGGTCAGCACCAGACAACGAGGAACTAGAGCATGGCGAGTTCCACATGCCAACATGAGATTCCCAGCTGACTTTTGCCGTCAAGTCGAATTTATGCATGGAGCTCCTAACCTGGCGAAGTGTGCGCTGCGGTCGAGAGGCCTCACCGACATCGACGTTGTTAGCGTTTATTCTACGTCAACAATTAACTCTGACCTCTGTAGTGTCAAGTGGCAACAGCGTAACGCATACAATGCGCATGAGGCATTCCTCCGCATGGACATGCTATTCGAAACATTCGACATACAAAGCTGGTGAGAGCAATGCGTTCGTTATCAGACAAAGATGTAACACGATAATCTTTTGTCGCTGAAAGTTGAGGTGCGTCAACTAAGGTCACGCCAGAGGAGTAATGTGCTATGTTTGGTCGAAGGACACGTGACAAGGGATTAACCCCCATTGCCACGATTATCCAAGCGCCTTGTGTACTCCTTTTCGTGTCTGTCCTATGCGCTCGGGTCCAACCATTGGTTGCACAAGGGCCCGTTGGCGAATAACGGCTACGCGAATGCGTATGACAAAAATGACGACGGGTCACGCACGATCAAAACGGACCGATATCTTCAAAGAGAGGAAGCTGATAGCTCTTGAAAGATACGTGCGAATGAACGTATGTAGGTCACTCAAGCTCACACGTGGATAAGGAAGAGAATTAGACCGTTCTAAGAGCAACTGCAGTCAGAGTTGTCCACGAGTATGCTGTGGTGCAGACAAACAGAGAGTAACCGTCGATTGCCCGCAACGACTTCATGACAGCGACTTCGTTTGTCACCTGTCGAGATGGGGCAAGGTACGAATGATAAGCTAGTATTGTCGAAATAGTAACTTGCATTCAATCACTACAGAGCATATAGCTACAGTCTTCCCTCTGCTAAGTTATAGACTTGGTGGAAGGCAAATCTTATAACATAGTAGAGGTTATTCCATAGCAGAGATATGCTGCGGAAAATTATTAATTTAATTAATTAAAGAATCAAAAATGCAACAAACCTCCAGACTTCCAAAACCTGTCTGTCACGTGTCACGTGCCCTTTGACGATTTTGTGATTTTGGTTGCCCCACCAGTCTCTGGTAATTTTGCTATCTCTGGTTAAGAAGTTCAACCAACTGTACCTTGCTCACTCACAACAGATGTCGCAGATACGTCTTACCAACGAGCAGAATCTGCGCATCTGCAAGCACCAGGATGCTAACCCGCGCATCACCCAGACTGCCCTGGCGGCTTGGACAAAGGATGCCTTTGACCTCCAGAAGGCACTTTCCCAGGCAGCGATCAGCAAAATCATCAAATAAAGGAAGGAGCTTGAGGCAATAGACACCACTAACCTCAGCGCTAAGCGTCCTCGGACTGTCCAGCACCCAGCTGTGGAGGAGGCCGTCACCTTCTGGGTCTTGCAGTGCCAGCACCGTGGGGTCGCTCTCACTGGAGATCTCATACGGGCCAAGGCTCAGACTTTTGCGGGATCAATGGGCGTCTCGGAGGAAAACATCCGCTTTTCGAATGGGTGGCTCCACAAATTCCAGCAGCGCCACAAACTGCGAGCTGTTCGCATTCATGGCGAGAGTGGCTCAGCAGATATGGGCGCTCTAGAGGAGGGTCTTCCACACCTCAAGGCCGTGGTTGCTGGTTATACTCCACGTGACGTGTACAACATGGACGAAACTGGTAGGTCTGAGAATACAGTACAGTACTGTACTCATTGTACAGTACAGAAGCATCTCAAAGGCTCACTTTCTGTTCAGGGTTGTTCTACAGTATGACGCCCGAAAGAACGATTTCCCAGCAAGAGGTAGAAGGGTTTAAAAAAGATAAGGTACATTATTGCTCTCATCTTGGTTTCCTGCGTTTCTCTGACACTAACAACTATTCTAGACGCGCATCACAGTTGCCCTCACGGCAAACGCTGATGGATCCGACAAACTCCCGCCGTTCTTCATTAGACACGCCAAAAAGCCGCGGTGTTTTGAGCGCAAGACAGCTGAGCTACTGGGCTTTCTCTACTGCAACAACAAGAAAGCCTAAATGACTGGCATACTCTTCCAGGAATGGCTGGGAGACGTCGACAAAAGTATGAAGGTAATTTGGGGCATGTTTTGAACATCATCGTTGTGGTACAGTAAATGAGGTTTGACTAACGCGTTGACCACAGCAAAAGGATAGAAAAATCCTGCTTCTCATGGACAACGCTCCTTCACATATTGTTGCTGACCCGGAACTCACCAACATCACGGTCCAGGCTCTTCCTCCTAATACGACCTTAAAGGTCCAACCCATGGATGCTGGGATCATTGCCGCATTCAAGAGACACTACCTCCGGCTGCATCTGCAGAATGCCTTAGACTGTGACGAGCGCGGAGAAACCAACCTTTACAAGGTTGATCAGCTTACGGCCATGCGTTGGTCGCTGGCTGCGTGGAGCGAGATTTCCAGTGCCACAATTGCCAACTGCTTCCGTCATACAGGACTCATGGACGGTCCGGCTCTGCCGACTGGTGGGGGTGAAAACGAAGCCGGCATTGTTGGCCAGCAGGCCCAGCAGGAGGCAACAGCTGCTGCAGTAGAGGAGCAGCGCGTGGAACAGGATCTTGTTTCGGCTCTGGAAAGGCTCCCGCTCCGCAATCCCATGTCGATCGCTTCTCTTTTCAATCCGGCTGAGGAGGAGGAGACGGCGCATGCGGAGCTGACCGATGCCGAAATCATCAAGCTTGTTGAGGATCCGTATGGGGAGGAGGAAGGTGCTGCTGAGGCGGTGGAGGAGGTGGAAAAGCATTCGAAGGCTGAAAAGCTTGCCAGCCTTAGTCTATCCATCGCCCTCCTCGACCTTTCTCAGGAGTCCCATCGTATAGCTCACCGCACCCTTCGCCAAGTCCAAGCTGATCTCCGTAGTGCGAGCACCACTCAGGCCACACTTGATTCCTGGCTGAAGTAATTTCCTCTCCTCTTTCCACTCCTTTCTTGCAGTGAATAACAAAAAAAAGGTTCTGCGTACAATATTTCTGCTCACGGCGGACAAACTAATTTCCTCTGATAAGTTGTATTTGGCCCTCAGGCTATTCCGTATAACTCATTCCGTAGTCACCATAGAACGAGGTCGGTGGAGACCGAATCCTATAACTTACCGGAGGTTATTCCGTAGCCGGGAATAACTTAGCAGAGGGAAGACTGTACTCCATTTTAGAATTGTGAGTGCGATACGAAGGTAGCGCGATGGACCGTCACTGGGCTCAATAAGCGTCATGGTGAAAAGGTCATTACAGAAATCACTTGTGTATGTGATAAATTACTCTCTTGACGAAAGGTGAGACGTCATTCGCGTTCAGTGCCCGTGAGGAAGAAAGTTTGTCGGAGCCGTGTAAGACACTCAAAGGTCTCGATGTCTCGTTGGGCAACGCTGGCTTATGTAATTTCCGCATTGTGCTCGTAATGTATCTGAACGATGACGAATGTGGAAAGTTTTGTCGTGAAACGCGTCATGAGGAATGCAAAACTACTTGAAGATGGACTGTAACAGTTGGTCATCAGCCGACTAGTGGGCGTCGATCATGAAGAGCAAGAACTTGACCTGCTCGTAAGCGTTCAAAGACGCATATCATAAAGGTGTTGCCCATCTACATGTGGACACGAGATAGTCACGTGTGTGTTCATGCGATAAAGCTACTTATACATACCCTATCGATAGGGTGGCGGGAACTACGCGCGGATAGGTGTGTTGAGACTGGCCAAGCACGTCAACTTTGATGTCTGGACGCTACATTCAGATCGACGGGAAAAGATAGCTAGTTCCCGATGTGGCGTAAAAATTACATTTATAGGTGGATTGTTGCAACTGGTTGACATCCGGTATATTTTCTGTCGCTTCGGTCGGCGGTAAGTGGTATTTATTATCGTAATATACTCGAAACATAACAGTCTAATTTATCATTAGCTGCCAGGACGTGGCATTTCGTCAAAATTATAGAGCTCAAAAAGTGGAGTTTCAGATATTGGGCACGTTATCTGACGAAATTTAGCAGTAGCCGAAGCAGGGTATTAGATCAGCCACAGATGATAAAATTAAGGTAAGGGAATTTAAAAATTCGTAAAAAAGAAACTAAAGATAACATGACAGAGAAAGTGCACCACGAGATGAGACAATAAAAAACTACCGAAATAAACACAAGGATGCCTAGATGTATAAAAATGTAAAATGCACATTATATAAAAAACACTAAAAATGCACCAACGATGTTAATATTCGATCTAACGAATACATGCCTGCGATTATGTTGTTGTT